TGGAGTCAGGTAATTATGTGATACTTAGCACCTGGTTTAAATCATGATTAATCATTTTTCATAAAAATCATGAAATTAAGTGATTTTAAAGAAAAATGTGACTTGCAACAAAATGCCATGATATGGCTGCTTGCTGGGGAGTTCTCCAGCAAGCAGCCATATCATAGAGTTTCATTGCAAAAAGCTGGCTGCAGCAGATGGGGGAAAGCATTCCCCAACCAGCAGCAAAGGCCTGACATCCCAGGGGAGGAGGGAAGGAGTTGCAAAAGGGACAGGGGGAGGAAAGAGCTTGGGGACAGGTAAGGGAGGAGCTGTTAGCTCCTCCAGGCAGGAAAACTGGGGTGCAGAGAGTTGGGGCCACCTCGGGACTGCTTTGGCAGACAGTCCTGGCACTGGGTAGAGGAGAGGCTGTTTACTTCTCCAGGTGGGGAAGCTGGGGTGGCAGGGGGGAGACAGGACCCCACCAAAGAGCAAACAACCCACCCCTACCCAGTGCCAGCAAGCAAGGCCTCTGCTGGTGCAATTAAACTTGCCCCCTCAGCCTACCAGCGGGCACAATCTGGGCACAAAAATGGCAGCTTCTGCCACAATCAGGCCATGGTACTAGTGAGCTAGGCCTGCAATTTAAACCAGGCCCTAGTGATGATCTCCTCTTCGATTTTTAAAAGGAACAGCCCTTGTGGCAAGGAGAAGCTTGAAAACAGGAACTCAAAAGACAAATAACATCCTTTCCCATGTTATTTTAAATGTGTCATGATTTGGGAGGAGCCTAAGTGCTGTTTTTTTCTAAATGCTTGGCATTGGCCGTATTCAGTCTAACCTGCAGAAAAAAGGTGTGCCAGTATAATGAACCTGCAAACCTTCCTAGTGTAGACTTAGCATAATGTTACGGGGGCTTTTGCTGGCATAGTTTGTACCAATTTTACGAACTATCTGAGCAAAAGCAGTTTTTTGTCATTATAATGGTTACTGATCTGAAAGTGTCATGCAAAAATCATGTTTTGGGCCGAGTTTACTAAGGGTGGCCCGAGTTTATATTGAACAGGTCTGGAGTTGAATGCCAAGCCTGGGGACCCAGAATGATCCATAACAAAAGGATTTCGTGGCTAGTATGGACCTAGCACTGGATATGTTAATGAGATTCAGATCTTTGCTGTTGTTGTGACTAAATTTGCACAGAAAAGTCCAGATTTCTCATCATCTGCTGTTGTCAACAAGACAGCATCATTCTTGAATGAACCCCCTAAGAGGTTTAGATGGCTCGAATCCTGGGACTTGCCACAGGGCTTGTGATATGCTTATCATTGAGCATTGGATATCAACCCAAATGAATGTCAGAGCATTGCTGCTCACCTGGTATATAAGCCAGGACAAAAGAGGATTGGTTATCGTATGTTAAAGTTATGAGTTTGTGCTTGTCACTGACATTTGAAACTTAAAAGTGACCCATCTTAAGAGGCAACCAGTTGTTATTGGCTGCTGAGAAGGTAATGGAGTTTTAATTGGACTTTTACTTTATGATAATTTCATATTTATCATTACTCTGTTTCATGAAACAATCTCCTTCAGCCTCGCCCCACGCTGTGCAGGGAGCAAACTGGAGATGTTGAAGGAGTAGCCAAATGATCATGTGGGATTTTCTGTCCCTCCACATGTATTTCCCAATGTTCCTGGTGCAAAATGGAGTATGCTTAGGTAGGCCCAGGACTTATGCTTTTGGGGGCCACCCTCATCCCTTGACTCCGTGCCATCAGTCTTAAGAGGGAACACCTGGGATTTTGACAATTTTGTTCCTTTCTGTGGATTTTGACAGGAGAGCTAAATGTGAACTACAGTGATTGCTACCTTTAGTTCTGTGGCAGGGTCTCTGCTGTACCTACTCTGTAATTTTCCAGCACTGTTATTATCAACATGTAAGACTGACCAAGGGGGAGAGAGGCTGTTGTCCCCACAGGGACCAAGCGGTTATGTATAATTTCCAACAATGTGCATTAAAACCTCTCTAGTGCAAAATTAAAAACAGCACGTCCATTTTTCTACCTTTCCAGCTCTAGCGCTGTTCTTTTCTTGACTGAGAATAAAGAGAGCTCATCTGAATGCAATGTTAGCATAAGGAATTTTAAACCTTATTCTGAAAGATTAAATTTAGAACCAAATTTGGCAAAACAAGTCCTTCTATATCTATGGTAGTGAATATTCCTGTTGCAATACACAATTGCAACCTATCTCCCAATCAATTTCTTTTTTACTTGATGACACGTTGGATTTGTCTTGTGGAATTTGATTTTGAAAAAATATCAAAATCTATCAGATGCTCAAAATCAAATCCAAAAAGTAAAGTTACAAAGTGTTCAAAGAATGGCATTGAAAAAAAACTTCGCTTAGATGAACCTTTGCTCCAGACTCATTTTGGGAAGTGACAGGAGAATTATGGAGTATGTGCAAAGTGATTACAGATATCCCTCAACAAGTAACCAAGCTCACTATCATTGCAGCTCTTTGTTTTTAAGAAGGAGGCATGTGTGGATGTGGGTAATTTAGGTTAAAAAAGCTACTGGAAGGATTCATCAGAGATTTCCTCTGCTATGATAATAGCAGTGTAGAACTTCGTAGCATCAAGGATCAGGTTTTACAGTCTGGCTAAAAGCTTGTGAGGAGTATTATGAGCACAACAAGAAATGCAGGGAATATGGGTAAGATGTAACACAGCCTCAGAGCTACAGGGCTTTCGTGGCAAGGTGAATGAGGGTCAGTCATGAGGGTGCTATGTGGATTTGTTGGTCAGCTGCCTGCCCTTCTAGATTTCCTCTTCCCTGTGAGGTTACAACTTGGGCAGCCACTTCAGCTCTGCAGCTGCAATAATAGATTATGTAGCTGCACCATAGCTATAGAGATGGTGCAGATTTTTACCTTCATAGAGGTATATATCAGCATACCTCAGATGCATCAGAACTCTAGCCCGTTCCAAAGGGCTGCACAAAGGGAACCAGAGTAGGGGCCTGCTCATGAAGAAAACAGGCATATGGAGCAGGAGCAGGCGTTTAGACTATCCAGTTTTGTTGACACATTTGGATAGCTTAGATCCTATGACCTACACCAAGGGTTTTCAGCTTTTTAAACAAGTGTACTCCTTCTGTCTCAAAGTTTCAGCTCATGTACCCCATTCTATTTTTTTCTTGCTTTTAAGGCAGGGGGGAGAAACAGATAGAGGCCTCGCGGTGGGGGAGGGAGTGGGGCAGGGGCAGGTGCTGCCCAGCCGGGGTGGGGTGCAGGACAGCTCCCGCTGCAATGCACATCCCAGGAGGGCATGGGGAGCGTGTGTACCCCCAGATCTGCATGCAGGGGGTGGGCGGGCTGCTGCTGTGAGCTGCAGTGCTGGGCTCTTCCTGGTGGGGGCTGGGCCAGGCTGCACTCAGGGTGGGCGGCAGTGGTGCTAGGAGGGGGGGTGGGAGGCTACAGCGAATTCTGGAGTGGTTGCAGTCCCCTCCCGCCATAGCCCTGCCCCTGTAGCGCTCCATGGTGAGGGAGGGGCTGGGGCAGGTGCTGCCCAGCCAGGGTGGAGTTTCGCACAGAGCCACAAGCATCTCATTTGGGTGGCATTGTGGGGGCTCCTGCTGCTGTATGCAGCCCAGGAGGGCACAGGGGGCATGTCTGCCCCCGGCTCTGCACACCGGGTGGGGTGAGCTGCAGGCACAGATCCAGGGGCACATGCCCCCACCCCTTCCCTCTTGGGATGTGCGCAGTGATGGGAGCCACCCCCCCACGGATCAGTCCCACGTCCCACCCTGGCTGGGCAGCCCTTGTCCCATCCCCAGCCCCACTCCCTCCTGCCACAACAAACTTACTAGCTGGACCTGGCTACTCTCCATGTGGCCGGGCTGCGCTCTTGGCCGCCTGTGTGCTGCACTGTGGCTGTGTGCGTGCACATAGAGTTCCTCCTGCGACCCTTTTAAGTATCCCTAGGGGTACTTGACAGTTTACTTCTATCAATTCTATACTTCATTTCTCAAAAGCAAATGGTGACATTTTTTCTTTGAGGCAAAGACTAAAATAGAGTAAATGATTAAAATACAGTAAAATAAAGTAAAAGATTAAAATAGCGTTCCAAAATCCTACCTGATAGTGGTAGTTCAACATTTTTATGTATTGTAAAGTGCCAGAAATACTTGAAACAACTTAGTGGTCTTGCACATTAACATTATACATCAATTTTACAGCGGTGGTGTTCAACATAGCAGTATAATAATCTAGGTCTAATGTATCTCAGACTATTGGAGGAGTATATTAAACTGATTAGTGATCCCAAATGAAATGCTGGATGAAACGTCAGCTGCCTGGCAACATAGAAAAAGGTTTTGGATCACCAAGGGTCACATTCTGCCCTTGCATGTTTTAGGGCCAGAGATAACCTTACTTGTGCAGGAAAGTGCAACATTTTACAGGCCATTGTCACTTAAGAACATGGGTTAAAATATTATAACCTTTTGAGTGAGTAGTCAGCTAAAGTAATCACTGAAATTCTGTGAGAGAAACACACATACTTGTCCTTACACCATGGCAACTTAAAGACAACAAGCAGAACTTTCTGAAATAAATCCTAGAGCTATTCCTGGCATTCTAGGAAGAAAAGAACAACAGTGGAGTACTGTCATGAATAATAATAATAATAAAAAAGTCCAGCATTTGCAGATAGCTTTTACTGTCTGTAATGTTGCAACGTGTTTTAAAAAACCTGTTCTAGGACATACATGCATTCTTATTAGTCTCCTTCTGTTAGAAAGAAC